CCAGATTTGTTGACTTTGAACTAATGATGATCGTCAAGACAACGGGGCGCAGCCTGAGTGCAGGCAGGTGGCGCCCTTTTTGAATTTGTCTTCAAAACCTGTTGAGGATAGCGCAGCGGAACGCTACTACAATTATATCCATCCGGACGAGACAGCATAATTACAATCGAACTTCACGGTAAGCTCGTTCGATTATTAAATTTTTTTCGCATCTTCGTTAGAAAAAAATTCTTTAAAGATAAAGTTATTCAAAAGGAAATGAGAAAAATATTTATCTATTTAGAAAGACTGCGAAAGATTTTTTAAATATTACATATATTTGTAAAGATATTTAATATTTTAAAAGATACTTTAAACATATACAAAAGAGGATTATAAATTGTTAGGATTGATATTTTTAATAATAAAAATTATACATACCTGAGTCGTCATCAGCCGATTAGCGATGCAGCTAAAAGTAGATTAGAAGTTATTAGAGCATGAATAATGATTATTGTCTGATGCTGGACAATGATAAATACGGGAGAAAATCGGATCTGCGCAGTAGTAAAATCCGTTGCTGTCCAGACATCGATGCCGAGTCGGTTCTATTATTAAAAGTCGCGTTATTGATTATTGAAATTGCTTAGGCTTGAACTCCAGTTTAAGTTATATGTTGACATTGGCACATATTACCATCGCATGACTGTCTGACTTTGAGTTTTACTTGAACTGACATGAGGAATGCATTCGACGTATAAACGTAAGACGAGAATCACGTCTGTGCATAGCGCTAAATACGCGATGCGGAATACGAGCCATTATCGTTATCGTATTTCTTCGACCGTAACGTGAAATCACGTATTACGTTAATACCGTATTTTATGATGTCGCTTGCGATTTTTCAGCATTGAACGTGGATTAACGAAGTAAGAATCGCGGATGCGTGAAACGTATGTTTTTATCAATTTAATCGCTATTTGACTAATATGCGATAAAAATTCATACAAATTATGGAGCGCTAATGAATCTCGAAAAGAATCGGGATATTAAATTTCATGAGAACCGAAGTACAGAAACAATTGAATCATTTACGACTTATGCATTTGCAAATTACCGTGAATATCCGCATATTTCCAATTACCGATACGAGTTACTTGTGCATGCGTATAATACACTTTCAAGAAATATATCTGTAATTGCTATTGATTTCATTATAATTTATCTCGTTATCTTTTGTTCCGGATTCTTTCATCTGGTTTTAAATTTTATTCCATACTTTGATTTTCCATTTGTCGCAATTTAGTCTTGCAATTAAATATTTGCTAAAGACTAAGATTTGATTATGAAGTTATGTAGAAAAACTCGATAAAAGAATTAACGATTTATAAATTAATGAGATTTCTCTTATAAATATACATCTGAACAATATTATATTCTTTTCAAATATGTAAAGTCAATTTTTCAGTTAATTGGATATTAATTTTTTCTTTCTTTAATTTGTAATTCTCTAAATGTATAATTAGATTTGTGCGACAAAATTTGCTCTTAAATTTTCAAGTAGGGAATAAATGGGATTAATAGCATGTCGTCGTAATTCACTTTCTTACCTTCGGACTGCATCTCATGTTTGTAGAGATAAGAAGTGGATTAATATATACGACGATGGCACAATCCATTTTCCATCGTAAAAAATTAATTACGATATGCTACATTACCTCGTACAATCGTACTTTCATTTCGCTTTTATCCGCGCGTTTTCAGAACAGCTGCCGACTTTCCACGAATTTCCCGGCGGATAAAATTTTCTCCGCTTAATCATA